AACAGACTAAGTACTCCCACAGATATTATAGCTCTTTTGTATACATGGTCAAATTGAAATCATTTCAAATGATTTGATCGTTTGTTTCGCAAACGCAAAAAAACATACTTCTATAGTTCTATAATTCATATTTAACATGTAATTATAAAAATTCTTCACAAGTTATTTATACAAATAGAATATTACTTGTGTTTAAGACTACTCACATGATCAACCGATAATGGGTTAATTAATCTTTAATCGATCGACCAATATTCCTTGCTTATAGGATCGTAAAAAATACATACAAAATATTATATTATTGTAATACAGTAATATACTCATAAGTCATGAGGAAGGCTCAGATTTTATTATAATCAACAAAAATATAAAATATTATAATATTTTTTCCAATTTAATATGTATACTGTAAAGTACGTTTCTATACAGAACATTTTCTAATTTGACCTCTCAAAAGAACGAACTAAATCTAATTTGCTACCAGAAACCCTTAACGTTGAAAATCAAAGATTATTTTCTACAACTTTTCGTGTACACAGATACAAATAAAAATTAAAAATACACATCATCATAAAACTAATGATTAATCATGATTTATGACGTTTGAAAGCTCGGAGATGTGAGTCCGAATCAATAAGTCAAAAATCTTAAAAATAAATTGAAACGTGCGAAAGATCATCGTAATAACTAATAAGATACACTAGGACTAGTTAAACAATAATTGATATAACAATATCATCTGTAGTACAATCTATTAAAAGTTAGTAGTTATATTGTTTAGTTTTAGTATCTGTTTTTCTACTATTTTTGTTACCCATTATGTTTCGTTTTTTTTATTACATATTTTTGCAAAAATGTCCATAAAAAACTTGAAATATTTAGATATCTTTGAAAAATTATAAAATAAATATTCGGTAAAATGTCAAGTATCTACAATTATTAGTTTTGGAATGGCAGCACAACAAAAAAACCAAGAGAAATCATTAATATTTACGGGTAAATATCAAATGTCGTAAAAATAAAAGATAATTTTTACAGGATCAGAGTAATATTTACTTCATATGGCAGTATTTACTTTACCGAATTAACCACCGGAGTCAATTCAAGACTGCCTTATTTTGATTATTGTGGTGTTCTTGCGCTAAATGAAAACTCGTGTTCGTTTGATATGTTGGAGTGAAATATTTACAATTTAGCATTATTATTTAAGATAAAATCTGTTCTGGTTTTATTTTATATAATGAATTAGGAATGTCAATAATGATTGAAATGCCAGTAAAACGTTTTGATTTAATTCCTCGTCGGAAATAGTAGGTACGTTTTGGAAAAAAGCGCATTTCCAAACCAGTCTTAACATATATAATATTACAGTTAGAGCTTAATTTTATTTTTTAATTCCCTGCCATATTTAACATACATTTTTTAAAA